CCATTTTCAAAATCGTCCTTGTTGACGGTATTCACTTTGTTCTTGCCTATTCTTTAACAAGCGAGCTCTTTCTTGCCAATTCCCTGGTATAAGTCACGCATCACAGCAGACTGCACAATTTAGATATACAATTCCACGTAATTGCCGGTGAACAGGAATTATTGTTCGAGGGATGAATCGATCTCTGGAAGAACTCGTACAATTTACGACACATTGCTTTCTCATAACTTAAACGACTAATTTATACTACAAAAAAATTAAGCGATGGAAAAATTAAGATTACACAGTCCATTTTATCCTTGTAACGTTAACGAGCGGTTTCTGCACGTTTATTCAAATTTGGACTATTATTCTAAAATATACAAGTTGGAGAATTTTGCTGAAAAGTTGAAGAACGTTTTTTCCAAATAGTTCACATATTATCTCAACAAATAATGGATCGATTGAGTCGAAACAAATTTGGTTTTATGTTAAGAAATTTATTAAACATTTCTTTGTTCAGTAGCGATATTTTACGTATTTTTTGTTTTAATAATCCTAATCTTTGGCATAACGGCAACCTTCTCCACTGTAATAATAAAAATTTCATTTCTTTCAGATGTTCACAAGGCGTGGAATCAGGATAATTATAATATCGGTAATACTTCATTTTTTAAGGTGACATGAAAGGGTCATTCTATATACAGAAAACGTGAAAATATTTCTAAAACTTTTCTCAAAATTGGGTGCATCAAATAATTTGGAATTTCAGCACGTGATTATGGAGACCCTACGGAAGAACGCAATGCTCGTGAAATTTAATTTTTCACAAAAAATATGATCCTGGTTTTAGTGTAGGTCTAGTGTAAAATTTTTTTCTTTGAAAAATAAAATTCCACGTTGTTCTTTAGGGCCTTTCTACTCATGTGCTCAAGTTTCAAATTACTTGGTGCACCCAGTTTGGAGAAAAGTTTTATAAACATTTCGACGTTTTATGTATATAGAATGACCCTTTCACATCACCTTAAGGGGATGTGAAAGAGGCATCCGAAAGCTCAATTGTTCATAAAACTTTTCTACGTCCTGGGTGTCTCAAATCGTTTCATACTTTAAAACTTGAATATGGAGACCCTAAAGTAGGTCCTGAAACTCGGGAAATTTCATTTTTTTTAAACTATTTTTAAAATACCTATAAAGAAATTTGAAAAGAATTGAAATTTCATGAGTTTCAGGACCTTCCTTATATTATCCCTATTCACGTTGTAAAGTTTCAAACTATTCGGTAAGTCGAGTTGGGAGAGAAGTTTCATAAACAAGACCTCTTCGACGCCACTTTCACATCACCTTAAGGTGACATGAAAATGGCGTCAAAGATGTCGGGGTTTATAAACCATTACTTCAACGACCTAGGTTGCCCCAAAATGGTTACGATTACCATACTTGCGATTTTCCGGATTATTGTCTTTTTTTTTCCCCATGGAATAGGGGGAAATAAAGGCCCGCGTTTAGGACTCGTTTTCGGGTGGAAACGTTATGGCTCGGTGTCGCCCTGGAGAACTCGTTGGACGTCACCATGGGGCCAAATTGATGGGACTCGTTCGTGGGTTTGTCCTTCCTTCATCTTTTTTTCTTTTTTCAGCCGGTTTTACGGGTAATATCGGAGCCTTGCCAATAAATTAGCGCGGACACCGTCTTCCTGGGCAGAACTATCCCGCGTCCTCGCCTACGGGGACGCGTTGTTAAACCACGGGGAATTTACCGATAACCTGGACTCCCTTAAGTTATTAGGCTTCCTCGAGTTAGTATATTTCAAGCCGACTAACCCGTCGTACTCGAACGATTCTAGGAGGAAAGACCATTAGCCGATATGTCATCTTCAAGTTCCCGAGAAGCTCTAGGAGTCCCTCACTCTGTTCACTCTCCCGGGTGAAAACGACTTCCTCCTTCGAGAATCGATTTCTATTCGTTTCGCGTGATAAAGAAGAATGCCCCTCGATAGGAAAGAAAACGGCACGCAATGTCGATTTTACATTTGTACACGTCTCGGTGCCCATAAGTACATGTATGTACCAAAGGAACGTTCCGAGAGTGCACTCCCGACCGGCAATCCAATATGGCGGCCTTCCGTCGTGCCTCAACGTCTTAATCCCGGATTTAGAGAATCACTCACATGCGAATCGCCTCATTTCAGAGCTCAACGCTCCTACGTTCTATGACAAAAGCCCCGACATACGACCCTGAAGAGAACAATCCCTCGAGATCTCCGAGCGAAACTAACCGGTGCATAGGACGATATATACAATGCACCGGTTTTAGTAACCCCGCGTGTATACGCGCTAACCTCGTTTAAGGGGATGTGAAAGTCCCATCTGAGCGGGGAATCGTTCATGAAGCTTTCCTTCAAGCTGAGCCTATCGAATAATTACACACCTTACACCGTTAATATGGAGGCCATAAGGTCCTGCCGCCCATGAAATATGATTTTTATTTCTTAAAAATCGTAAAAATGTGTATAAACAAATTTTTCTTTAAGACTGAAATTTCTTGGGTTCGGAACCTTTCTTATTGTCTCTACATTCGCATTGTTAGGTTTCATACTTAAGGTGAACCTTAAGGTGAAGTGAAACACGTCGAAGAACTTGATCGACGTCGATAAAGAAGATTTTTCTAAATGCCTACGTTAACGATGTTCGTTTGTATATTGACAGCTGTGTCGAATTATTGTATATGTATTGTATATAAAATATATATGGGCTGAGTTACAAATTCTTTTGAAAAAATCCAAATTTTCAATGTGTCAGGACAATTCTTAGATTATCAAGAGTGATGTGTCAAAGTTTCGGACAGTTTGGTCTCATACCCTTAAAAGAAAGTGTTGTATTCGAATCGACTGATTTGAAGGAGGTTTCACTTCACCTTAACCCCTGAAACCGCCGAATATTCGGTTTCGCTTATTGGCCGGCTCGTGCCGGGAGTAAAAAAGGAACGAAATGGTCCTCGGCAGGTTTTCTCTCTGTTTCTCTTCTCGGTCGCGTTCCACATTTCAGAACGACGAACCGCGTCGCGATGCCGATCGTAGATGGCCTTGACGCATGCGGTCGCAGCAATGTCGCATTGTCCTTTAAGGTGGTCAGCAGGGAAAGATGAGCATTTAAATTGGCAGTTAAATCCCGAGCCAAGAGATCGCAAAAGAAATGTTGCTCGGAAATGCGCAGCGGAATTGCGACGCAACGTCATAACGACGCAGCGGCGCGCCGCGACGCCGCGGCGTCGCATTATCGTAGCGATGCGTCGTTGCAACATAGTGTCGCTCTTTGTAACAATGCGACATGGAAACGTAACGTCGCAATAAAACAAAATGGCTGAAAAAGATGTGCAGGGAGGAAGGACGTCGAGTGTCAGACTAAGCGCGGCGCGTCGAGGTTAATAAATCAACAAAAACTGCAATTTAACCTTCATTCAAATCAGCACTAATTCATATTGGTTATTCATAACAGGGGAAAAAAAGGAAAATCCATTGAAAGGAAGAAACATTTCTTTGAACGGCACCGGAGAAATATTTTTGTTAATTGGATAAATAATTATTTAACGCCAATGAACTACAAATCAATTGTCACAATTCCGAAGAGATGGTGCACCCAATTTATTCCAGTTCATTTAAGTCTGATTCCTTTAATTAAGATAACATTTCTTCGGTTTAATGAATTTTTCGTTTGTTGTCAACGTAGTCGGAACAATTAAAAATTCATATTTTTTTTCTAATCGCTTTTTTTTTTCAAAATTTCTTAGAGATTCGTTGGTCCGCTTCCGTTTGAATGAAATTTAATAACTTATTTTCGACCTATTTCATCCTCGACGCGTTGACGCGCCGCGCTCTGCGTGACACTATGTCGCAGCGCCGCGACGTCGCACCTACCTACGATGCGCAGCGTCGCTTGTCTCGGATGGACGACGTCCTTCGACTGAGTATACAACCGTGAGCTCAACTTAACGCAAGTGTCGTGAAAATATAGACTGACGTCGTAAAACGCGCTCGTTAAAGAAAAATCGTTTAAGTAAACGGCGAACTTCACGCGCGCAATGCCAATTGACGTTATTCATTAGTTTGCTACTAATGGAATCGCCGAGGACAAAGTGGCCTTCGGAGGGAGGGGGTTTCATTTTTCAAGGGCGATGCACTATTCACTCGGATAAGAGTTGAAATGAATGATTACGCAAATGACTCGTTTAAGGGGTTACACCACTTTGACCCACCCAAAAATTACGGTCTTTCAAGAATTTTTTTTTAAGAATTAAAACGTTTTTATCCAAATTAAAGCACAGTAAGGTATTATACTACTATTAAACAACAAAATATATTTTTTGTAGCGAAATACGTAGCCGTTTTCAAAAATATGCATTTTTCACAAAATCGCATCGATTTGAAAGGAAAGATACGTATTTTGCCCTAAATTTCGTTAATTAATGTTGCGTAAAAAGCGCGAATATCAATACATTGAAAAAAACCATACGTACTTCGCTAGATAAACATGTCACGAATAAAATAAAAAAAAGAATCAAGACGATCGATTGAAAATTGACGGAGCTAGAGTGCCCACCGATTGTTAAAATGCAGTTTTAAGAAAAACGCGTTTGAAGTACAAACGCGTAAAATAAACGCGTAAACATTTTTTTGATTTTTTGAAAATTTCAAAGTGGTATGACCCCTTAAGGGAGTATCGTTTCATTTTTCAAGGGTCTCATCCATCAAGGGGGTACCGTTTCATTTTTCAAGGGTCTCATCCATCAAAGACGTATCGTCTCATTTTTTAAGGGTCTCATGCATTAAGGGGGTACCGTCTCATTTTTAAAATGGGAGATTTCCCGAAAATTTCCAGCATCGAAACACCCAATTCCTCGAGTAACACGTTTAAGGGGTTACCGTTTCATTTTTCAAAGGTCTCATTCATCAAGGGGGTATCGTCTCATTTTTCAACGGGGGTTTCCTCTCATCTTTTAAGGCCGTGAATTTAAGGGTGAGATGTGCTTGGCTTGCAGGTCGGTGGCGGCCGAAAACGAAGGTGATTACTGAGATAGGAGGCTCGGGAGGTGGAGGATCGGTTCGGGCGAGTTTAGGCTACGAGATGAAGAAAGTGCGGTAGGGTCGATACGAAATCGCGGCTCCGGATGATGCCCGAGATCCACCGCTCGGACTCGTTGAGGTCCACCTTGGAGGCTGGACGGGAACGCAGAATGCCGGCCGAGATTTCCGCGGCTGCCGCACCGGCTGGCAAGACCCCCGAGAGGAGCGTCTCCTTCAATCGGGACGTCCACGTCAAGAGGATCGGTGAGTCCAACGCAATCGCACACCGTAAACCTCGCGAGAGCACTTCGCTTCCGATCAATCATGTCCCCAAAAATGAGTAAACAATTTACGACCCATCATTGCAAGGAAACTTCATTTCTAACATTAAGGTGATGTGAAAGTGCCGTCGAAGAGGTTTTGTTTATGAAACTTTTCTCCCAACTCGGTTTACCGAATGGTTTGACACTTTACAACGTGAATGGGGATACTATAAGGAAGGTCCTGAAACTCATGAAATTTCAATTCCTTTCAAATTTGTTTATAGGTATTTTAAAAATATTTTATAANAGTGGAATAAATTTCGCGGCGTATTTCGCACCACCTTAACATTTCGCGTGTATGAAAGAGTACACGCCTCTGATCTGCCACATGTGGAATATTTTTGAATTTTTTGAAAATGGAATACCACAGTGTCCAAAATGGCGTAATTGCAAATAGAGGGTAACTTAATGTTAGTTTCTCGAAGTGGATTAAATTTCGCGGCGTATTTCGTACCACCTTAACATTTCCCGTGTATGAAAGAGTACACGCCTCTGATCTCCCACACGTGGGATATTTTTGAATTTTTTGAAAATGGAATACCACAGTGTCCAAAATGGCGTAATTGGAAATAGAGGGTAACTTAATGTTAGTTTCTCGAAGTGGATTAAATTTCGCGGCGTATTTCGTACCACCTTAACATTTCCCGTGTATGAAAGAGTACACGCCTCTGATCTCCCACACGTGGGATATTTTTGAATTTTTTGAAAATGGAATACCACAGTGTCCAAAATGGCGTAATTGGAAATAGAGGGTAACTTAATGTTAGTTTCTCGAAGTGGATTAAATTTCGCGGCGTATTTCGCACCACCTTAACATTTCCCGTGTATGAAAGAGTACACGCCTCTGATCTCCCACATGTGGAATATTTTTGAATTTTTTGAAAATCAAATGTCTCAGGGTCCAAAATGGCGTAATTGCAAATAGAGGGTAACTTAATGTTAGTTTCTCGTTGTGGATTAAATTTCGCGGCGTATTTCGCATTTCCCGTGTATGAAAGAGTACACGCCTCTGATCTCCCACATGTGGAATATTTTTCCCCTGCATATTCATAGGTTAGAATACGTGGATGCTGCGCGAGTAGGTGACGAAGGACGCGCAGGTTGTTAAAAAGTCAGCGTGGGACGGCAAAGACATTGGCATGCATTAACTCGATCGTTGCATAAGGATCTCTATAAAGCATGATGGCACCTACGCGGGGCACCGTAAAAAGTTGCGTGCCGCATCTAGGAACGATTTGTCGAGCAACGTCCTCGACCGAGAAATCCACCGTGACGGTTAAGCGATTTCCCGTGTCGAGTCACAACGGCGCTCCTAGGATGAATATCGAGACAGGAAATCATTTAACAAAGAGCGACTCGATGCTAGTAAAAAAGTGCCCCGAACGAACTAAACGCATTTTCGAAACTTACTCCCGATAAAATAATAATGTGAAGCACCCTTCAAAACAGTCGATACGTATACAACACTTTTTTTCAAGGGTATTAGACCAAACTGTCCGAAACTTTTTCTTTATAATTATTGTACGAAAACGACAGGTGGAGTACGCCATTTGGTACAATACCCAATATAATTCGACACGGCTGTCGATATAAAAACCAACGTCCGCAACGTAGGCATTTAGAAAAATCTTCTTTATCGACGTCGATCAAGTTCCTCGACGTGTTTCACTTCACCTTAAGAGATCTTATTCGTATCCGTAAATGGAATTCGTCAAGATTGGACTATCCAGATTAATCACCCTTAAGGGGACATGAAATGTTCATTATATGTATATATAAAACGTCCAATTAATTATATAACTATTTTTCAAATCGGGCTTACCGAACAATTTGAATCTTTAACACGTGATTGCGAAGGTCCTAATAAAGGTCTTGAAACTCGGGAATCATTTTCTTTTTGGTTCCTGTCCGGGATAAACGCAATCTTTTGTCGAGATGTGAAATTTCGATAGTCTCGAGACCTTCGTTGGGACCTCCATGAACACGTGGCAAAGTTTCAAATGATTCGGTGCACCCTGTTACAAATATTTTGACGTCTCGATAGATTCAGAGCAACTCTTTCGTACCACCTTAAAACGCTCGGGCAGAGCCGATTTTTTTTATTTTTATCGGGAACGGCTTTGGAGCCGATCGCGACCCGAGGTCGCGTACGTGTGCATTAGCGAGGCGAAGAACCAACGAGGCTCTCCTGCACGTCCGGTCGATAATGCAGTGACACAATGACTGGTTGCAGACGAGCAGGGGAATATGAATGGCCAGTAAAGCGGAGCCACTATCGCGAGTGTGGCGTTTGTATTATTTTATAGTGGCATCCGCCGGGTTTACGAGCGCGGTTACGTAGACTCCCGCAGTGGGCGCGAGGTTCGCTTTTCTCCCGCGAGGAGGCGTCCTCGTAGGAATGCGCGTAATGCCCTAATGGCGTCGATCTAGTGGCGCCTCCAACCTTTCCCGAAGGAGTTAGGAACGGCTACCAGTCACCGCGCGATCGGGCTCCCTCGGTTGGAAATAAGGAAAAAAGAAGGAAATAAGAAGATAGAACCCCGAGGATTGTTTCTGGGAATCCGCAGGATATCCGAGAATGCGCCTCGCTTCCTGTTGGGAACTGCACACCCAGGGCGTTCCCTCTTGTTTGCCTTTTCCAGAGCGCCTCGTCAATTCGGACGTATACCTAGGAGTACTGCCGAGAGAGGGCGGGTTAGGATTTCTTCCTTTACGTTTATGCCTGGGCCGTTAGACCACGGTTTTATACAAGGGGATGACACTGCCATATATTGGGGTGTAACGCTTATGCACTACCGCCATATTTTTCGCGAACTAAATTATTTGGCGGGCTATTCAAATTCATTTATTAAACGAAGGGATATTTTCGGGATTTAAAAAGTACTCTCGATGATTAAAACAGACGTTCCTTAAACTGACACACACAAATGTAAGAAAACAGTATATTAAACATAAAAGAAGTAACAAAAGTGTCAGGGGCACAACGCCTGTTTTGAATCACTGTAAGAACTGAAATAATTACATTAGACATTAGTTAAAAGGTAAAATATTGATTAAGATAAAACATCACAAACTCACGTTCGGGATTTAATACCCGAGGTAATCGAAACTTGTAAAAATATTGCCACTAATCGAGGTTAGGTTCACTTTGGTTCACTCGTCCCGACTATTTTCATGCGCATCTACGCTGCGCCTCCTGGAGTCTCTTGCTATTGGTTAGAATATTTTTTTTCTCCGTTCTCTTTCTATTAGAGTGAGAAGTCACGACACTAGCGCCGTCTTTGCTTGGAGTAGGTGAACTAACTTAATATTTTCTGGTAGGCCCCCCTGTTTTTCCAGGCCGTTAGGGAAACTTTTAACCGCCAGAGTCGTTGCAGTCTGGGTAGGTGCTGTAGACATAACCTCAATAAGAGAAACATTACTTACCGGCGATTAAATGTTACAAATCGGACATTTGCGATGGCAAAAGTGTGAATATCCCGATAAATAAGGCGCAGACCTTACGTGGCCGCGTAACGAAGTCTCGTCTCGAGCCACGGAGACGAGAAAAGGTAAGAGATGCGACTCGTCGGTTCGTGCCGGGTCGGGGGTCCGCAGCGACCTCTGCGCGGGGCTCGTCGGAACCTGAAACGCCTCGCAGATCTCCCGTCGGATTAATCCGTGCGCCACCTTATAGATCCGGAGTGAAGTTAGGACGGGCGCGGCCGGGTGCGTCCTTAACGTCCCTCGTCCTTTCGCCGCGAGGAGTCGCTAGTGGCGAGTCGCCGTCGCGATAGCCACGGGCTAAGTTATGGGCGAGACGGGCGACGTTATCGCGCGGAATCTAGTTGCGCGCGGATCTAAGCAGGACCTTGTTTCCCAGGCCGGAGAGGAGACGAGACGGTTCCGAAAAATGTCGCCCCGCGCTACGGTTCCACTTATATATACGCGAGCTGCGCATCCCACGGCCGTGGAGCGCGTAATATCTTGACGAATATATAGTCCACCGTGGTAGCAACGATCTCAACACTTACTCCGCAGTCCCCGGAATTAGTCCACGCGCGAGGGGAAAGTGGAACTGCCTCGCGCGGCGAGCCGCGGCTAACTTACGGGATTAGCGCGCCCACCTCGGAACTTTAACACCCTCCTAATCCTTCCCTACGCGCGTGGGAACCTTCGAAAACACACCGACGGTTTCCTCTCGAGTGAGTTTGACGACCGCCGATCGCACTTTCGGATCAACGACCGTTCGGCCCGTAAAAAACGGATTTTTGCCCGCCGAGTTGCCTGCCTGATGACACGGGAATGCGGCACGGACGCGTTCCTCGATTCGCGGGTGAACGTTAACCCTCGGCTTGGTTGCAAAAAACTCCGCCCGGGCGCGCGTCGGAATTCTCGTTAGTATTTTTGGCCTTGACGTGGAAAGAAAAAAGAAAAAGAAAGTAAGAAAGAGCGACTGACGTCGGCGCTCGGGTCGGGGGCAGATAAAAAGTGGAGTTCGCTCCGACGCGAATAAGCTGCGGGGACGAGATGCGATCGCAAAGGTTTCATAAAGAAGATCTCTTTGACGCCCCTTTCGTATCCCCTTAAAAGGAACTAATATACGATTTGAGGTTTGTATATCATTCAGATGAATCAAAAAATCCAGTCAGTATGTTCTTCGGGTGAGGATTCGTAACCTCGACACAATAGGGTACTTCCCTACGGGAGTTCCTAACCTAAAGTCCCTTCGGATGGCTCGTTTTATCCGCGCGGCCGATAAACGATCGTACTTGGGGTAGCTCGATATAAAAGTGTCCCTCGGTTAGCGAGCCCCGTCTTTAGGATAGCAGTAAAATAAATTATTGGCGAATACAGCAAAGAACCTGCCGCCAACATCAACGGAGGTTAGAGCGGTCCGCGCGACTCGCTAATTTGTATTCCCCATAACCTACGCGCATTTCGCCTATAACTCCTACACATTTCTCCGCATTTATAGCACGGAAAGTCTCGCTTCTCTTAAACGTTACGATTGCAAGGCCTTAAGGTGATATGGAAGAGTCAGCATATGCATATATGTACATCTGAGGTCAAGTCGTTCCTGAAAGTATTCCCCGAATTGGGTGGTACCGATTAGTTCGACATTTTGCCACGTGAATGTGGAGGCCCTAAGGTAGGCCCTTACACCCGTGAAATTTCTTTTTTTATGCAAAATTTATTTATTCATCCTGGACTAGAACCAACGGCGCGTTTTTGTCGCTTAGAACCAGCGTCGTACGCTTTTGACGTTTTACGCTCTTTGAAGGATTATAATCGATAAATGAAGAGTTTATACCTTGAGTTAATTTACGGCTGTACCCTACAGATAGTACTTGAATTCAGAATTTTATTTCAACAGATTGACCTTGACAGCTAGGAAAATTCAGAGCCTCCCAGAACCTCGAGAACGTGAGAATGGTCATTTTCGGAATTTCTTTATTTTCTTTCAACCGTTCTGGTTTTTGTAAAAAATAAAAAAAGTGGCACAAACATCTACATCACGAAAACGTTCCAATAGGCCTGTTCATTTTGTTTGTGCCTCAAATTGGATTCCAGGTTCACACCACCCATCGGTCATCCTGCATTTGCTCGTCCACGACATGCGCGCTCTCGTTATTAGAGATGGAGGAAGAGGGAGAACGAGTGCGTGCAAATATGCGTTTTCGCTCCGCCCCGCGTGCGGAATTCTCGCCTACCTCCTCTGCGGCCTCTTTCTCGCTTCGCGTTATCGCGTCGGCAGAAAAAGCCCCACCACGTGCGTGTCCCGTGAATAAATGCCACCCTCCACCCTGGGCCATCATTAACCTCCCCGTGAGGGCCTTGTCGCGTCTGAAAAATTGGGCCAAACCGCGAATTCCCTTTTCCAATTAGCCGCTACGCTCTTAGGAGATGCGCAGAGGTTGCCAGGAATTCGGCGGCTGCCGAGGCGGTCCAGGAATCTTGCCGCGAGGGACCGTGTCGGAATCTTGGGATTTAACTATCAACGATCAATCCGCTTCCAGCCGCTAATCGCATCTCCCGGCGAGAAATCCAGATACCTAATTAGGGACTCGTTCTTGTTTTTCGGAGCCGTTTGCGAGATGTACACGTAAGGGAAGTAGAATTACCTGGATTAAGGTGAAGTGAAACCCCCTTCAAATCAGTCGATTTGAATACACTTTTTTTTAAGGGTATTAGACCAAACTGCCAGAAACTTTGACACATCTAAGAATTGTCCTGACATTGAAAATTTGGATTTTTCAACGTCGATCAAGTTCCTCGACGTGTTTCACTTCACCTTAATCGGTTAATAGGGCAGTTCTTAACCGTACCGTGAACAACTTCCAACGGATTTTCTTTTGTAACTTTAAGCTGATACGATGGGGCCATTCTATATACATAAATCGTGACAATATTTATAAAACTTGTCTCCAAACTGGGTGCACCCAATAATTTCATACTTTGCCACGTGATCATGAAGGCCCTAAGGAATAACGCGATGGTCGTGAAATATCATTTTTGAAAAAAAAAAGATTTTTTTTCATTTACCCTACGCTAGAATTCACAAATCACATTTTGTGGCGAAAAATGAAATTTCTCGAGTCTCAAGACCTTCGTTAGGACCTCCATAATCACGTGGTGAAATTGAATTGAATATTTAGATGCACCATATTTTGAGATAAGTTTTATATTTTCACATTTTATGTATACAGAATGACTTTTTGGTGTCACCTTAATGTTCTTATTTTTCTATGCTAGGGTTCAGGCTCCTGTGGAGGCTCTGGAAGTCCGACTGGAGGCAACACCTGGGGCTCGCGAACCTCGGGGGCGTGGGTCGAGCCCTGGGTCAACCTCTGACCCCTCTTCCTCTCTGCCTTATCCGCGGCCTTACCGGCCGTCCTTACTCCCGTTACTCGGACCTGGCTTCCGCTGCTCGGTCCTTTTTCGCCTTCTTTCGGCCCCGTTTCCCCCAGGGTGCCGGCGCACCTGCTGCCTCCACCACGGACACCTTGTAGCTCACGAGGGCCGAGCGTCAGCCTCGGATTGCCTCGCCGGTTTAATTGAACATAAATTGTTCATAAGGCTCGGGCACGGAGCGGAGCTTTTAAAAGGACTATCTTACGAGCTATCGCTCCTTCCCTCTCGCCCTGGACCCCTCTCTCGCTTCCACTCGGTCTTGCTTCACCGCGTCGAGGAGCCGGAGGTATCCCGAGGCATCCGGACCCTCGTTCCGATGGCTTCGGTGTTCCAGAGAGCTCCATTCGCGGCCAGTTAATGACGAGAGGACGAGTAAACGCGGATTCGACCTCCTGCCAAGTGGCGCCTCCTCGAGGTTGGGCCCCTTCGAGGTCGACGATCGTCGAGGTGGAGGTCTGGCTATTGATGATCGCCGGACCTACGCGGGACTTCACCTTTTTCCTACAAACGTTTGCCGGGATATGACGGTGGTTTAATTCATGGCCCAGTAATAAGTTCGATCATCCGGGTGACGTGTTGCACGATGAACAACCTCGTGGAGATTAGGCCTTCCCAACCGACAACCTCCCACGTCTGGATAAACCCCTTCTACACAACGTTACATACTCCTCCCTACTCGCCAGCTTCGGGAACAAATGTTCCTCCAGCGCAGCTCAGCCAAAAGAAAAAGGGAAAAGAGAGATAAAAGTAGAACCCTACTCACGTCGAGGCGAGGCGAGTCGATTACAGGATCGCTACCCGTAAACGACGCGTCCTCGACGTCTCGGCGGCGCTAATGACTGCGACGACGTCGGGGACCCACCACGACGTCCCTTTCTAGAAACGCGAATTTCGCTACGCTGCCTTGCCGGCAGTTTGCCTTCGACCGGGTCTCCAGCTCCGACCGACAGCTCCATCAAAGCTGGTTAGCACTCCCGATGGCCGCCAAGTCCCGAGTCGCTGATAAAAGCCCGGAGTGACAATCACCAGGGCAAGGGACCAGCTCGTTCCACTCCCATTGCGGATTCACGGCGTCCGTTAATTACCCCGACGCGTCTCTGACGCTGACATAGCTAATGACTCGGCTGACGGAACGGACCCTCCACGGCGTTCCTTTTCCGAGGCCACGAGGTTTCGTCGCGGCCACGATGATGGGGTTCGCGTCGATGTTGCCTCCGAGTGGGTTAGCTCCTCTTCTGACAGCAATGCCCTCGCTCGATAGCTCCATCGGAGCTGACAGACCGGTCAGGAGTTCTGACTGACAGCGGCTCCGAGATCACCATCGAGCCTGACACCGACAATCAAGAGATTCCCCCAGCTCCCAGAAGGACGACCCCAGGATCCCGCGAGCCAGCTGATGCCTAGGTTAGTGATAAGCAAAGTCGGTCCTGGACTTACCTGGGAGACCTGGTATCGCACTTTTTAATCGGCGATATGCAAGACCAAGACCAGGACCAAGACTTTGCTCATCACCAGCATCAGCGATCCGTAGTAACCTGGCCAAATTTTGCCGTGGTGCTTTTATCGTCGTCCATGTTAGGGTCGGTGGGGTCGTTTCCAGACTTGTTGGGCAAAACCACGTCCCTGGTACCCCGGTAATCGCTTCTATGTACCCACGACCTCCCGGGAGGTCCCTCGCTTGAAACGCGAATTTCTTGGGGCCACTCCCGTCGACGGGGCCCATCTTCGAGGCGATCCACCTCCCTGCATCCTGTCCTCTCGTGGCTCCCGATGATCGACATGTGCGTGCTCGCTGGAGCCACGCACTCGTGCACATCTCGGGCAAATAATGGATATTAGCCGATGCCTTACGAGTCGATAATTGGCCCTGGTGCACGGACCGCACGCTCGGCGTTTCGACCCCGTCGACACAAAGATGCGCCCGATGCGCCGATACGATGCATCCCTGCTCGGCGTGTAACTCTTCCTCGAGAGTGGCGCATCGCATTTCCCTCGGAGTACGTGCACCGCGTGCTAATATCGGCATCTCGGCTCGATGCAACCGCGATGGGATGTGCTGGTGCTACGACGGCGCAATGGATCTCGCAAATGATCGACCTCTGGGTGGAAGATCGATCGGCATGGTCGACCTGGGGTGAGAACCCCACGTTTAGCGCGAGAGGCCGTCGTTCCCGTTCCTTTTCAGGCTGGATTTAGGAGAGGCACGTCTTCTCCGTTCGAGATATCGCGCCAGGTCGCTCGTTCCTCCTTTCGAGACGAGAAACGACTCCCGAATGGCTCGTTTAATTTTTTTTCTCTCTCTCGACGAGAAGTGCCCAAGGTCTCCCGAGGTGTCCAACACCGACCTCGTTCCCCACGTTCCGTATACTGAGAGAAAGGGTTGACTGTAGGTGATACGATAGAGTCACATGTACATACCAAACATTCGAGATACTCTCAAACTTCTCCAAATTCGGTGCTAACCAAAGAGTTCAGTCATATCAACCAAATAGTTGGTTGTTCATGTAATGAACCATATTCTATGATCGAGCGAAGAATAATGTTATTGCTTCAACTAAATATTTCTTTTGCGGGTGGAGGAACAAAATTCAAGGAACGTTCCTTCCGTTTCAGGACGTGGCACCCCGAGGGTGACAGCAGCGCTCGTAGGAGATGGGGAGGGCAGGTTGATAGCAACCCCAGTGCACAAGGAGAGCATCACCTCCAGGAGCAAGGAAGACCTAGCCCAGGAGGCAGCCCTGGTGTTGCAGCAGGCCGGAAGTCTGCGTTGCATCGTGCAGGACGAGAAATCCCTCCCCGGGAGGTTCAGCACATTACCTGCCAGGAAGGAAAAAAAGCGTCCCGACCTACCTTTGAAGGTACCTCGCCGCAGGAGCGAGGAAATTGGAGTGACCACCGATGAGCTGGTAGGACTCCCACGACCAAAAAAGAAGGCCCTGGAGAGGAGCGTCAGCGATGCCACCCCGAAGAAGCTGAAGGGTCCGCTGTCAAGGCTCTTCTCCCCAAAATCCGAACGCAAAGCAAAGCCAGTGAGCAGAAGTGCGAGCGACGCGAGTCGCCCCCAAAGGAAGAGGAGCGGCTCCGAGAGCGAGGGATCCCACCTGGGTGGCGTGAGGGCGAAGAAACAGTTGTCGCCGATCATCGAGGCATCGCCAAGGGTAGACGAAGCTGGCCAGCAGAAGCAGCCGTTCGATTTTGGGGCCAACGAGCCTGGAACGACCCTGGTGAGCCAGAGAGTGGAGGAGAGGAGCGAGTCGGTGCTGGAGGAGGTCTGTGCTACCAGGTCGCCGAGGTCCCAGAAGAAGAGCCCGAGCCATCAGGAAGTCGAAACCGAGGGTGGGAAGGACAGGGAAGGTGAAGAGACCCGGCAGAAGGGTGCGGCTTCACCAGCTAGGCCAGACGTCGACGAGGTGGACAGGGTCGGCGGGGACATGCTGCACAGCAGCAGGTTCGACCGCCGTGCAGAGGAATCCACCATTCACAAGATGATCCACCGACTGTCTACCGACCGGTCACCACCACCCCAACTGACCAGGACCATGGTCTCCCCTAGTCCGGGATTTGGACACAACAACAACCGGCCGTTTTCCTATACCCAGCCTAACGAGTCCACCTCGCCGCATCCTCAGCCTCAGACTGGGGTGATTTACGCACAGGTGCAGCTGGGCAAGAAGAAGGCCCAGAGGAGCCACTCTGACAGCGACGAAGGCCTAGGGTTGGAGAGGAAGGATTCCTCCAGGGAGAACAGTCCTGCCGAGAAGGACTACCGCAGGACGGACTTCGCGTATGGTACCGAACTGAGGCGCAACAACGAGATCAACAGCTTCAAGTCCCGCTATGACCAGGACAGAAAGAACGTAACGCATTTTGGGGACTTCTGCGGCACCAAGGAGTTCCCTCCGAATAGGACCGTGGACCCGAAAAGGATGCACGAGTTCGAGACCATCGACAGGCACCTCTTCGAGAAGCCAGAGAAGTACACGTCCACTGTCTTCGTGGATGCTTCGAGTAGGGGAAAGGTTGACGGGGTAGATGCTGCAGGGAGACCTGGTGAAAGAGGGGTTTCCAACAAGACGAGCGAACTCAGCGCCAGGAGGGACCTCCTGGAGTCTAGGATCAAGTCCAGGCTGTTGGCAGACGAGATGTTCGCCGCCAAGAGCAACGGCACCACCGGGCTCCCGAAGAAGGTGGAGCACGAGATCATCGACAAGCCCATCGTCCCTTCTCCGGTCATCCCAAATCGCGTGTCCTCGCCTAAGCGGTACACCGATACCTACATCACGGAGACGAGGACCAACAGCAACGGGGAGAAGTACATCTTCGAGAAGGAGATCCACGAGGACAACGGCAAGGTCTACGGTTTCGAGAAGAAGATCACCAACAAAATACCAGCGGATACGTACATAGACCCGAAACCTAGGGACGGGTACACAGTCGAGACCAGGACGGACAAGTACGGGGACAAGTACCTGGTGGAGACGCGCACCCACCAGAGCTACACCGACGACTTCAAGCCGTTTCTCAGCGACCGGTCGAGGACCAGCCCGGAGGAGAGGTTCCAGTCAAGGGGAAAGACGTCCTATCACATGGAAGAGGCACCAGCTCGCTCCAGGATCGAGACCAAGGACCTCCGCGAGGCCTCGCCCATCGTCGCCAAGAAGATCTACGAGCACAAGTTCTCCAGGAGCGAGGACTTCCTGGACCGCGAGTCCAAGCCCCCAAGGGAACCCCACTTTCCAAAGACCAAGAAGAACTTCGAGTCCATCCGCGGCATGAGCAAGTCCACCCAACGGCTGGACGAGATCGGAGAAAACTCTCGAGTCAGGGCGCTGAGGTCAGAGTACGTCTCCAGGTCCCACGAGAACCTCAGCAGCGCCGACTACGCCAACATCGGGGACCTGCACCTGCCAGCTGGGAGCTCATCTCCGATCTCGCCCAAACAAAGACCACATCGCCTGGAAGACAACCCCAGAGATCAGCCCATCGACGACTACGACACGGACATCTCGCAGATGACCAACAGCCAGCTGGAGTCCAACTACTTCAAGGAGACTAGAACAACGCAGAGGTACTCGACCAGCAAGAGGGCCCTACACGACGACTACGACAGTTCACCACCGAGGCTGAAATCCGACCGACCTGGGTATGGATCCAGCAGATACGACTCCGACACCACCGCCAGGGACTCCATCCGCCGCGAGGCGCGCTACCAGGACGACCCCTCCAGGGTCAGGAAGAATCTGCACGCGCCCGCGGAGGAGGACCCTAAGAAACCTCTGAGGAGGTCTCGCAACCACCTGGACTACTTCGACGATTCCGATGCCAGAGACAGCCCTCGCGGGAACTCCACCAAGAGCCGGCTGGAGACCTTCGACGAGAGCCCTGCCGGCACTCCCAGGGTCTACCATCACGAGAGCAAGATCCGCCACACGCGGCACGAGACCCGGGGCTACACCGAACGTCGTCACCGGGAAACCAGGCTCAGCGACCCTGATCGCAAGGACAGGCTCGCGGATTCTGGGATCGAGAACGACTATAGGCGCGACTCCCAGGAGGCCGATCGCAGGGAGAACCTCGAGTCCGAGGACGAGGGCTTTGTCACAATGCGCTTCATCAAGCACGAGCGCAGACACACCGACAGGAACATGAGCAGTCCTGGGGAGAAGCGAAAGTACGACAAGTACGCCACCAACAGCGGAAAACCTGCGCCGCTGACCTCCAAGCCACCCACTGGGTTGATGGCTGGTGACAAGAAGTACGAGAAGAAGGCTGCCAAGAAGAGCGGCACCATGAGCAAGGTCAAGCAGCTCTTCTCCAAGAAGGAGAAGAAGGTCAAGGAGGAGAAGAGCAAGAGGGGCAGACCTGGGAGCAACGGCGCTCTCACCGATGACGAGGTCACCATGAGGTACCGCGAGTATCGTGGGGATCAGCTCAGGAGCGCCAAAAGCGCCAGGGACCTCGACAGCGACATCAACAGGGTGAGTCCTTATTCCATACCAACATTTAAGCGATCCAGAATTCCGCAAATTATTCGAAATGTTCGTCAAAGTTCAGGTATTCATTTTTGCATGACCTCACAAACCTGCAAGTGGCGATTAAGGGGACCTTAAAAATTAGTCGTTCAATGAAACTTCTCCGAACTGGACGTGCCGAATAGTTCCAAACTATGCAGGCTACAAAGAAGGTCATCAAATTTCATTTCTTATAACACATATTAAAGATGCCTATGAAGAATGTAAAAAACAAAAATTGAACTTTCCTGAGTGTCAGGACCTTCCTTGGCTACCTCTATATTTCCGTTGTAGGGTGTGAAACGATTCGGTACACCCAATTCCGACAAGTCTCATGAAAGATCGACTTCGCAGGCACCACTTATTCACCTGGAAATGAATCAAGGTCCTGGTTATCTCCTCGTAGAATCGGTGACGAATTTCGTCGGGCCCAAAACGTTTCCTCGCGTCCGTTTTCGTCACGGCCCAAATACGGCGCGGTAAGGACGCGACTCGTTCCCTCGGTACCAGGGTCGATCCTCGAATCTGTCGTCTTAGTTTCCGAGGATCGAGGTCCTTCAACCTGCTCCTTTGCGTGGAAATGACGTCAGGCTTAACTGTTCGCCGGCGTATCCCGATACGGCGATATACGGCGATTCGAGCCGGCACCAAAATGGCGACCGGATTACGCGCCCACGTCGCCGGTCTCCTTTTCGGTGGACTTATCAGGGTAACAAACTCGATACAAACCGCCTCGTCCTCATTGATTATTCAGACCGTCGACTCGCGTGGGCCCCGCTGCTCGATAGGCCCTTATTGCCGATTTTCAACGTCCGATCCGGGAAATTATAAGATTACTCGATCATCATCAGATCATTCGTCCCTTCATTCCTTTCATTTTTCGATGGTCGATTTATCAACGTTCGATCCGCGAAATTACAAGATCGATCCCCTTAAGGCCTGAATTTTCTTTCGCCGGGGATTTCTAGGCAGAACCGAGCCGTCAGGATGAAATATCGCTTCCAGATCTGGATTTCAATTACCCCAGCAATCCGCCATTGTCGGGGAGCGAAAATGTTTGGCGGGCAAACACCCACGGGGCACACGATCTCACGCAAGTAATGGACCCCTCGATCTCACGGTTGGATCGTGAGGTCGATTGCTCAACGGTATCGAGAGAGAGAGAGAATAGCAGGTGGTTCGATATCGCGCAACGAATTGGTCAAGTGGCATTTAAATTTTAATCCACCTCCACCGTGCCCGAGAGCGGACCAACGCCCACGTGGCCATTCGCTCGATTCGCGTAAACGAGGGCACCGGCGCATGCGCACCAACACCTCAGAATTTCCGACAATAGGGAAACTCAGCCTGAGAGAAGAAAGTAAAGTACCATAGAACCAAAGAAACGGATAAATAACGTTTCGTTGATTCAAGGACCGAACCCCCGATTCATGGGTCCATGTCCACGTGGAAGACATCGAATCGATCGTGTCAATGGACATAATCGATATGTCTCCCACGTTATTGCCCAAGCGGCTGGAAATTAATGTCGTGGGAGATCGGCCCCGACTACGAGATCCTTCGAACGTGGTGGAACGTCCACCCACGCGATTCTCGGGACGTCCTCTCCTCCGAGGCGCCCTCGCCAAATTCCCGAGATTAATCGAGTCACTTAATTTCGCAAGGTTAGGTTGGGTTGGTCTGGCGACAGTTCGGTGCCCTCGGGAACCTCGTTTCTAGCTGCCGCTAGAATCTAGTTGGCTGACCTACGAGCTCTCGCGTTCTATCGAGCGAGCGTGCCACCACGCCGGGTATCCAGCCGCTCCATCGAAAGTTCACATCAATGGCGCTTGCTCCACGCCGAGCGACGTATCGAGCCCGGCGGGGCATTAGAATTTATTAGCCGGCCTTACCGGACTCACCAGCCTCGCCAGGCTCCCCAGCTTTGCCAGCTTTGCCAGCTTTACTACCTTTACCAGCCTGATCAGCTTGACCAGAATCAGCGGAATCGCCAATTTTACGGGCTTTACCAGCTTGATCAGCTTGGCCAGAATCGCCAGCTTTACTAGCTTGATCAGCTTTACCAGTCTGATCAACTTGACCAGCCTCACCAGCTTCGCTAACCTCACCAACCTCTCTAGCTTGACCATCCTCACCAGTTTTACCAGCCTCACCAACTTCAACAGCCTCACCAACTTCAACAGCCTCACCAACCTCACCAGCCTCTCCAGCTTGACCAGCCCCACCAACTTCAACAGCCTCTCTAGCTTGACCATCCTCACCAGCTTGACCATCCTCACCAGCTTGACCAGCCTCAACAACTTCAACAGCCTCACCAACCTCTCTAGCTTGACCAGCCTCACCAGCTTCAATGGCCTCACCAACCACACAAGCCTCTCTAGCTTGACCATCCTTACCAGCTTGACCAGCCTTAACAACTTCAACAGCCTCACTAACCACACAAGCCTCTCTAGCTTGACCATCCTCACCAGCTTGACCAGCCTCATCAACTTCACCAGCCTCACTAACCTCACAAGCCTCTCTAGCTTGACCATCCTCACCAGCTTGACCATCCTCACCAGCTTTAATAGCCTCACCAACCTCACAAGCCTCTCTAACTTGACCATTCTCACCAGCTTGACCACCCTCAACAACTTCAACAGCCTCACTAACCTCACAAACCTCTCTAGCTTGACCATCCTCGCCAGCTTGACCAGTCTCACCAGCTTCAATGGCCTCACCAACCACACAAGCCTCTCTAGCTTGACCATCCTTACCAACTTGACCAGCCTCAACAACTTCAACAGCCTCACTAACCTCACAAACCTCTCTAGCTTGACCATCCTCGCCAGCTTGACCAGCCTCACCAACCTCACCAGCCTACCCAGACCCACCTTTAGAAGGCTGCGAGGCATCGAGATCGACGGATCTAAAGGCACGGTATCGGTTTCCAAGGATCGCCGCCGATAACAGCCTATTTACATGAAACCTACGTACATATCGAGGATCGGCACTCGCGAGTTACGCGCCTTTAAAGAGGGAAACCAGACTGCTGCGGAAAGAGGCGTTCTTCCTCCTGGGGTTGCTGTCTGAATTTTGATGATTGGAGATTCCCCCGTCTTCTCTCGACTCGGAGCAGAATGAATTCTCGGTTTAGAATGAGAACTGCACCTAGCTATGCGAGGAATTCCTTACTTCTATGAGAAATCCCGAGGCATCGTCGATACCCGATAGACCAACCCTGATCTGGGCTGGAAAAGCACGTCCCTATCACGCCGCATAGATCACCGAGGATACCGTGCCCACGTTTCGCATGAAGTCCACGTGCAAATCCCGAGTCCTTGTCGGTGTGAACGAGCCCTCTGCATAACAATAGCTCGAGTCGTGCGTGGATTGGAGGCGGCCCGTTCTAATTTGGAAAAGTTTGTACCCTCGACTTTGAATCCGCTTTGCTCATCTGCATTTTGGCGACTCCACCCTTACGGCTAATTATAGATGCCGAGGGTTTATCATTGGGACTTTAACTGATTTCCAAGTGAATAGTTCCTCTGTGCGAGTCCCAGTCCAAGACCCACTTTGCTCATCTTTATTTTGGCGACTCCACCTTTGCGACTAATTACAGATGCCGAGGGTTCATCATTGGGACTTTAAGTGATTTCCATGTGAATAGTTCCTCCGTGCGAGTCCCACTTTGCTCATCTACATTATAGCGACTCCACCTTTGCGGCTAATTACATATACCGAGGGTTTATCATTGGGACTTTAACTGATTTCCATGTGAATAGTTCCTCCGTGCGAGTCCCAGTCCAAGACCCACTTTGCTCATCTTTATTTTGGCGACTCCACCCTTGCGTCCAATTACGGGTACCGAGTCTTTGTCATCGGTGGCGTCGAAGCCAAGTGCCCGGATGAAAAATTCGAGTCCCGTTGCAGCCTGGAGAGAGATATGGTCGGGATCCATATAGGTGCATCTGGGTGTGCTCCACTTCGCACGTACAGGTTAGGACGGAGGCCGGCTCTCGCCGGCTCTCACTGGCGGGCCCAGGAAGGCGCGGGGCCGAGGAACTTGGAGGAGCCTGGAATATTCCCGCGGATAGCTGCGGAATCTCGATGCACTTTGCTCGACGGTAGACGTACCATTCACACCTCCGCTCTCGTGTAGAGGTTAGGTTACGGTAGGCCGCGCGGCCGATCCGCGACGGGGAGAGCTCACCGCGTAAGAACTGGATCGCATTCCCGGTTCGCGGGGCATAAAACCGTTGAGATAATATTGCCAGATAGGTTATTTATTGATATCGCCGGAGTCGGGCTTAGGCTTGAGATCTCCCTCTCTGCTCCGGCAGCCCAACGGCCTCTTCCAAGGAATCGTATAACCGAGTGCACCTTCGCATCCCAAGAGACGTGCTCTTAAGGCGGACTGAATCAGCGACTCGGAGAAGACACTTTTTTTAAGGGCGTTGGACCGAACTGAGACCAATTTTACTCATCGCTACCTCTCAGTGATTAAGATGCAAGACCAAGACCAAGACCAAGGGTGATTTGCTTAACACTGACTCTTAGTAATGAAGATACAAGGCGAAGACCGATTTTCCTCGTTGCCACCTCTTATTATCTAGATACAAGATCAAGACCAAAACCGATTTTGCTCATCGCTACCTCTCAGCACTCAAGACGTAATACCAAGACCAAGACCGATTTTGCTCATCGCTACCTCTCGGTACTCAAGACGTAATACCAAAAGACCGATTTTGCTCTTCGCTATCTCTCAGTACTCAAGACGTAATACCAAGACCAAGACCGATTTTGCTCTTCGCTATCTCTCAGTACTCAAGACGTAATACCAAGACGAAGACCGATTTTGCTCATCCCTACCTCTCAGTACTCAAGACGTAATACCAAGACCAAGACCGATTTTGCTCTTCGCTATCTCTCAGTACTCAAGACGTAATACCAAGACGAAGACCGATTTTGCTCATCCCTACCTCTCA